GTGAAAGAAGGTTCAGACATCACACAGCCCGATTCCATCTCAGGCTAGGAATCCCCTCAGCAATTTTCCCAACCATAATTTGTCTAATCTCCCCTGAATATTATTGACAATCCATTAAGAAGGCCCTAACAATTAGTAACTTCCTTGTATCAGATCAAAGCTTTTCTCTCTCTTGTTCCCCATATGTCCCATTTCTGCCTCTGGGAATCACAGAAGAAAGTTGCTCCCTCTTTCCCAAGTAGCTCTGCCAGAAGGGATTCTCACCTTCTTCAACCCAGTTTTGACACTGTCTGTTGTGAGGCATGGTTGCCAGGCCTCTCCCATGCCTGGACCATTCTGTGGGTTAGTGTCCCCAGTGGGTAAGGCCCACAGCATATAAGGAGTATTGGAGGGAAGCAGAATTGTCACCTCCATTGTCCTATGCCCTATACTCCTCTTAATGCAACCTAAGGTCACACTTCAACAGCCACATATCACACCATTGTCTCTAAGCAGAACACAGCTATAAGCCTGAGTTCCTCTCCCACCTGACATTGTCCAGCCACACTCCCTGGACCCTTTACTCCAGGAACCTACCTTCCTTGAACCTGGCCAAGCAGAGGGAGTTTATGCAGGTCTCCAGGCCCCAGCCTAGATCCACCGGTTCCATGTGCTGAGCTGAGTCCCCATGACAGACTCCCCGCAGAGGGGACTCTGCCAGGCTCACCTGTAGGCGCCAGATGCGCTCACTCTCCTTGGACACGTTCTCCACTGTCTCCCCCATCAGGGCTATGAGCATGTTGAGGAGGAGGACAAAGGTGAGGATGACGTAGGTGATGAGCAGGAACAGGAAGAGGATGGGGTACTTGGAGTTCTGCTGGATGTTCAGGTCACCCAGGCCTATGGTGAGCTTGAAGAGTTCCAGCACCGCGTCGCTGAAGCTGCCGTAGGAGCTGCAGTTCTCATGGCTCTTGGGGCACTTCTCGATCAGTGAGGCCAGAGCTGTGAGGACATAACAGGGTGTTCTCTGCAGCCTCTCTGTCCAGTTAATTGCTCGGTGAACTCATGCATACCTGCACGTGCACACACGCACACACACACGCACACACACTGCTGTCTTCTTCTCTCTGGTTATTGAAATCGCATCTCCAGCCTCAGTTCCTCTGGAAGCCTCATCAGGCTGGCGTTCTGCCCTGACTGACTGCAGAAAGGCCTTTCTGCCTAACAAAGCCCGAACTCTTCTCTCCCTTCTCTACCCCACCGTTCAGCCCTTGACCAATCAAGGGCTTGCAGAGTAGATAATTAAAATCTATAATCTGTGTGTCCCTGGCTCCTCAATCAGGCTTGGAACTCCCAACTTCCAGTAGCCTGGGTTGTCTCTCCCAAGACTGGCAGGTCCTGAGTCTCCTTCTAATGCTGTGTGGCATGATCTCTGGTCACAGCCTTGGACTCTTTCTTCTCTTCTTCCCAATGCACTACAGCAGTGGCTCATTACTGAATGAATGGATGGATGGATGGATGGATGGATGGATGGATGATCAAATTAATCAGTGAGGAAATGGATGGATGAATAAACAAGCAAGTGAAAGAGCAAATGAATAAGCAAACAGGGACCCAGAAAGTGTACCAGGCAGATCCAATGAGCTGCCTAGTTTCAAATGCCAGTGATAACTGGGGAAAAAAACTGACGTGGGAAAACAAAATCATATCTCTTTACGAAGAGGTTAGAAACAAAATCAGGTTATGCTTTTCCCTCTGTTGTAAACAGAGAGGTTTTTAAGAGGGTTTCCCATCCCCAGTCCCCAGAAGACCAGAGCTCTCACAGATATATCTGAAGCAATCTATGACAGTAACATGACGTGGAAGGCCAAAGGAGGTTACTTCAATGCATTACTCTACTCCTGTTTTTCAAAGACCGTCAATCACATTTCTGCAAACTTTAACTTCCCTATCTGTCAGTTTGGGCCAAAAACACCTGCCAAACCTATCTGAAGCTGCAGGGACACATATGATGGATATGAAGGTGGGAGGCATACCACACAGTGTGTGGTCAAATCCTGGAGTCTCTAAGCCTCAGTTCTCTTATGATCAGAGATGATGATGACTCCTGCCTTGATCAATTCATCATGAGAAGTAAAGAGATAATCATTGTTGTTGTTGCTCAGTTGCTAAGTTGTGTCTGACTCTTTGTGACCCCATGAACTTCAGCATGCCAGGCTTCCCTGTCCCTCACTATCTCCTGGAGTTTGCTCAGACTCATGTCCATTAAGTCAGTGATGTTATCTAAACATCTCATCCTCTGCCACCCTTCTTCTCCTCTTGCCCTCAATCCTTCCCAGCACCAGGGTCTTTTCCAATGAGCCAGCTCTTTGTGTAGATAATCGTTGGGAAATGCTGATCATGGTGAGCATTCCACTGGTGGCCGATATAATTGTTGCTGAGGCTCCTGCATGCTCTGTCATGTTAATGTCTATATAAAGGGCTTTACAAATGTGGCAGTTGCTATTATTTGTAAATCATTTACCTACTCCAAATCCAAGTAAGAACACGATATATACAAACAAGAACTTCAGAACATCATGCAAAATGACCTACAAAGAAAGAAACACGATTCAAGGGTAAGGTTTGAGCACATATTCGCTACAGATTGATCTCCAGCTTTCCACCCTCTCCCGGGTTTGCACCCCAACCATGCCCTCATTCACTCGGGCCACTCTTCCGTGACCCTCCCCAGATCCTCCCGACACTCCCTCCACAGCTCAGCACTGGGCCCACCTGTTCCAGAAAGGCTCTTCTATTCATCTTCTCCACCCTTCTCCCTCCTAGAACACAGTCTGTTTCTGTCCTTGCTGATACAGGCTGCAAATCAGCACCTCTCCTCACAGAATCTCACACTGAGAATCCTCACTCTTCCTGGAAGTGGCCATGTGCTGGGGCCAGCTCACACCAGCTCACAAGAGCTGACTGTCACACTCTCGTGAATTTCCTGAGCTGGTTGCTAAACAAGCCATGACTAAGAATTGGATTGTGTAAACATAATTAAATAAATTACATTAGAAACAAAGATAATAAGTAGTCAAAACATCACTTCCAAGTGACTTTACTACATTTTACAATTATTTAGGCTTTTTTTTTTTTTCTTTTTTGGCCTTCCATGTGGCTTGCAGGATCTTAGTTTCCCTACCAGGGATTGAAACCATGTCCTCCGCAGTGAAAGCCCAGAGTCTTAACCATTGGACTGCCAGGGAAGTCCTAACAATTACCTAGAATTTTAAGGCTATTTACATCTATTGTAGCCATATGTTGGAAACACTATATAATGATGCTTTACTGTGCTTCCTTTCCCGATTCTGTATTTATGTTGGTAACTAGAAATCAGTCATGGTGGGTGATTTACACATAGATTTATACCATAGAAACTGGTGAAAGCTACAAGTCAGAGATTGTTGATTGTCTAGATCTGGACTTAAGACAATGATGGAAAAAATGTTAAGGCAGATAAAACTTTAAAAATGTATCCTCTCTGTGGCTGTTATATTGTGAATAGTACAAAAACACTGATGAAATATTCTTCTAGTATATGAAAACTATTATTCAATTCAGCAAATAAGTGTCTCAGGATCACTGACAAACAAATGCAATTTCAACACGTATTCATTCTTTCCTTTTCATCTTACTCCTTAAAGCAAAGGAAAGGACTTCCCTGCTGGTACGGTGGATAGGAATCTACCTGCCAATGCAGAGGACACAGGTTCAATCCCTGATCCTGGAAGATCCCACATGCCATGGAGCAACTAAGCCTGTGCAACAGAACGACTGAGTCCATGCTCTAGAGCTCATGAGCCATAACTGCTGAGCCCACGTACCTCAACCACTGAAGCCCATGTGCCCTAGAGCTGGTACTCCCCAAGAAAAGCCACCACAATAAGGAGCCCTCAGACCACAACTAGAGACTAGCTCCCGCTCACTGCAACTAGAGAAAGTCCATGCACAGCAACAAAACCCAGGGTAGCCCCCCAAAATATTTCAATTAATTAATTATTTTTAAAAAGCAAAGGAAAATTTCAGGCAACATTTATATTGGCACAATGCTCACTTGTCAACTGCAACCATAGGTTGGCAACAGATACAAGTTAAACTAAAATCAACAAATTATTCAGTGAGACTAGACTAGCCATGTGGAATTTACAACAAAAAGTATTGTATAGGTTATTATTATTTGTAACTTGTATGCTGTACCATCATTTATATGGTAAACATCTATAATAAATCTATCTACATGTATATACATTATATATGCATATTTTCACTCCAAGACCCTGAGCAAGGGCAAAGGAAGACCACGATATTTGAGAGAAAGAGCAGTGGCCTGTCCCTTGGGTGGGTCTCTTTTCCTCTCCAGACCTCAGTTTCCCCAGCTGAAGAGTGGGCCTTCTCTGAGGGGCCCCTCCTTGCCCATCTCTGAGGCTCAGCATCCCCAACGCACCTTCTGGATCATGACGCTGTACATGCCCATGGACTGGAACCCCCGCGTGTAGTAGAGCATGTTCGCCCAGCCCAGGGCCATGGCCAGCACGAGGCAGGCGAGGTACTCTTTGTAGGCAAACAAGTACAAGAAGACAGACAGTATCACAAGCACAGCTTGGGCAAAACTGTTCAGGAGACACAGGAAACAAGGGCCTTACTTACTTCTCCTCGGCATCAGGGCAGTGATGTCCAAACCCTCCAACCTCCCTTAAGCCCTGAACAATGACCCTGGTGGGTGATACCGAAGAGACAGCCGAGGCTGCCCCAGATGAGCTGGACCATGTCTAAAACCAAGCCTTGCAGACTGCATTGCCAGATGCAATTCAAGACTGGTTGCAGTTGACAAGGACTTTTTAAAGATAGACTTCCCCAGGGCCCAATAGATTTTGGTTCAGATGGCCCAGGGTGCTTGCCAGGAGGCTGGATGTTTTTTAAATCACCCATGTAATTTCCGATTCCCACAGAGATTGGGGAACTCTGGAGTAGACAAAGGATGCAGTGAAAGATATCATTTTTAATCAAAATGACAAAGCTGACAACATGTATAGTCAAACGTCAATCATAACAAAAGTCCCCCATAACCTACTTTGAGAAGTCTTTTTAAAAACTACAAGGCATGCCATGTAATAGATATGCTAAAAGGAGATTGCACACTAATGCAAATGTACCTAACAGCACTGAACTTAAAAATGGTTAAGACGGTTTAACTTTCATGTTACGTGCATTAAACCACAATTTAAAAAATTTGATGTACAATATATACCAAACATACAAGATCAAAACCTACTCCTAAACATTGTCATCAGTTAGGCAGACATCTGGATAGAAACCGTCTCTTGCTTATAGCATCAGGCAATCTCCACGATTATGAAATAACTAGTTAAAGCTGGGACGCAGTCAACCTTGATTTTGTGCAGTGAAAAACAAACATTTGGGTGATCAGTGTATTTGGTGCTGAAGTGAGGAAGCAAGTCAAACACCTTCCTCCACACGAAGAAAACAAGAGAAGCAGACGAGCTGGACAAGGCCTTTCATCCGCACCAAAGCCAGCGGCGGGACAAATGGATTTTTCCCTGGGATCGTCACACTTTCTCAAAGGTGCCAGTCTCACATGTGACTTGCACCATGGGCAGTACTGCACCTGGCCTATTCATTCACTGCAATGTCGGGGCGCCCCACCTGCCCACAGGGATGGAGAACTCGGTTCATACTTCTGGAAGGCACATGCCTACTTAATAAGACAGCTATTAATAAATAGGTATTTGGAAACATCAGGTCAAGATTCAAGGTGCTATAGACCCACCCAAAGGCTCAGAAGAGGGACTTTGGTGGGGTCCACAGAACCCTGGAGCCCAGCATGCTTCACCCCAAGCCGCAGATCCTGTTCTATTCATGTGGCCACGATGCTGAATCAGCCTTCTGTTATTTATAGAGACAGGGTTACGTAATCCTCTGACATCAGCTGCACATGACCTCATTCAGAGAAGCTGCTGAGCTGGGCTTTCTGACTGGGGTCTACAGTAGTTGACCCCACACTAGCTTGGGGTGAGGATGACTGGGACACTGGGCTGGCTTCGACATGCCCCAAGCTCCGCGTGACTCAGTGATTCACTTCCCTGATCTGTGTCTCAGTTTCATGAGATCAGACATGGTGATTTCTCAAGTCCCTTCCAGCCCTGATCTGCCAGGGTCCAAGAAGGCAGCTGGGAGGAACTGGCCTGGAATGTCCCTTCGTTAAAATGTACACATGCTTCCTCTATGCTGCCTGCCCCCTCGGGCTCTGGGGCAGGCTGTAGTCAGCTCTCCCTGCGACCAGATGCTGGGCACTGTCCCAGCATTCTCTGGTCCTCCCCTCTGTGCCCCTCTCAACAGAAGGGAGAGGAGGTCCCTGGCCACCTGCCTTGGCATAAGGACTGGGACAGGGTGACACAGTAGGGTGACCATTGCGGAGGGACACAGCAGTCCTCATACAGGACTTCGGCCTTGTCTGTGAGGTGGTGACCAAGGGGACAGACCTACTTACAACACAAAGTGAAACCAGGCATCTGAGAGAATGGACTGGAGATCTGACGGTCTCAGCAGGAAGATTGCGATGCCCTGCGGCCAGAAAGGAAAGAAAAGCTGCCCCTCTTCGTGCCCCTCGCTGGAGGACCTGGGGAAGGGGGCATTTCCCCAGGACTGAGACTCAGGGACAAGGGGAACGTGTGAAAGCCCAACCAGAGCCCAAATGAGGGATGTGGAAAGGGACTGGTGCCTGGGGGACAGAGCCAACCCCAGGGTAAGAGTGGATGCTCCCCCTGATCTTCTTACATCTCTTACTTTCATCTCCATCGTCACTCCAGAACCCACAACGCAGCAGGACCACGCAGTTACCTGCCATTCCCCAAATACGGCCTACCTTCCCAGCCTCTGAGCTTTTGTATGCGGCTCCCCACACCTGCCCTGTAACACCTTCTCCCTAGTGTCCTCATGCCAACCCCACCCTACCACAGTAAGTGACATCTCTACCTTCCAGCCTTTCTAACCTCCCCCATCCCCAAATAAAAGTCATCTCTCTTCTAAACACGGGTCTGGCCCCAACATCAGGCTCTTTTCACAGTCTATCTTACGGTCTTGGGTATTTGTGTCCATCTGAAATCTCTACCAGAGATTTCCATAGTCTATCTTACAGTCTTGGGTATTTGTGTCCATCTGAAATCTCTACCAGAGATCTTCACAGTCTATCTTACAGTCTTGGGTATTTGTGTCCATCTGAAATCTCTACCAGACGATAACCTCAAAGAGGGCAGACTCCCTCCCTCCCTATCAGCTCCCCCAGGGCCCCACATGTTGAAGGTGTTCAGAATATATCTGCTGATTCATCAGTTGGATGGATGAATGGATCAATTGACAAACAGAAAGACAGTAGGATGAAGGATGGAAGGACAATAGGTGGGTGTTCGAATGGATGAATGAGCAGTTGCATGGATGAGAGATGACAGGTGATTGGAAGGATGGAGGGGAAGACGGGAGGGACAGAGAGTGGCTGGGAGTGCAGATAAATGGCAGAGAGATGGACAGATGGATGGAGGGATGGATTCATGAAGTAGGTAGGATAAGCCTGCTTATTTATATAAATCTAAAATTAAACCGGAAATGAGTCCCCAAAGTCCCCCAGCAGTAGTAGCTGACAGAGCTTGCTGCCCCCCGCTTGTCTCGCAGGCCAGACCAGGAGCACTCAGTGACCCACTCACCTCTTTCACAGAAATGAACATGGCCCAGATGAGCACAAACATCCTTCCTAAGAGCTGCAGCCACCCCATCTTGTGCGTGAGGGCCAAAGGGTGTGGCAGGGCCTACGGAGGAAGGGAGAAGAATGGATAGGTGCAGGGTGCGGAGTGAGGAAGGCAGGGGTAGTGCCCCCTCTGGGGCGACCATGCACATACACATGCCAGGCCCTCGAGCCGGACCAGAGGCCAGCATGAAGCCTGTTCTCTGTAAGGGCCAGCGCAGAAGGGCAGCCCCCAGCCCCTGCCTACCCCACCCGCAGTGGGAACCCAGAATTCTACGGCGAGAGGCATGATTCAATCCATGCTAACAACTTCCTCATACCTCTTGGCATCTGCCTGTCCCATCCACATCCGGACACTCACAGGGCCCCACCACACAGTCAAAGCCAAGACTCTCTGCCTCATGTGACTGGACAGGAAACTGAGTCTCAGATTGGTGGGAAAGTTTCTCCAAGTGACCTCCACCTCCTCGCATTTCCTCCCACAGCAGAAACACTCAATGAGCTCCAGATTGAGACCTGGAGCCTGGGCAGGGCCTGGGGCTCCTAATTCCCTGAGCCTCCCTCAGCAGGGGTCCGCCTGGGACTAAGCACTTGGGGTTGAACTCCACTCAGCGTTGGAGACGTAGTCCATGTCCAAGACACTATAAAGCATGACAATTGGGGGATCCCACGCAAATCTCTTAGCTTCTCTGGGCCTTGGTTTCCCCATATGCACATGGGGTGGGTCCCATCTCCTGCAGCTCTAACCACCTCATCCCCCACTTCCAGGAGCCCAACACACCTCCTCCTCCCGGGGGCGGTAGTAAGAGACGAGGGTCAGGGTGATGTTGTAGAAGAAATAGAAGCAGAAGGATAGGAAGAACATGTACTTGGCGAACTTCTTCCACTTCATATGCAGCAGCGTGTGCAGGGGCTCCAGGGTCAACATCTCATGCCGGTTCTGGGCATAGAACAGCACCGGTCACCATGGCGATGAGAGGGAGGGAGGGACCATTTTCAAAGGGCCCTCATTTCAAAGAGAACTCTGAGTCAGCAGTGCCCCCGGCAGAAGGGGCCAATGAACTGGTTTGGCTGGAAATGTTGGGAGGGTAATTTCCAGCTCCTGAGGCCCCAGTGCAACCAGGCATAGCCAAGCACCACAGGAGCCTGGTGCTTTTGGCAAGAGGATCTGACGCACAGTGGGGAGTGAGGGCTAGAAGTGGGGCCAGGGCCACGACTGGGGTTCTGGCCCCTCCTGGGCCCCCCTTCGCTGTGTGACCCTTGGAAAACCCTTGACCCTTTCTGGGTCTCAGTCCTCTTCCATTAAACTTATTTCAATCCCTGCCCTACCAGTCAGGCTGCTGTGAGAGGCCAGGGAGACCCCAAGCAAGGCAGGCGCTGGGAGGCATGAGTCTCGGTAAAACGTAAAAGATGTGTTGCCTCTGTTCCCCCAAGAGCCAAAAACTTCCCACTGCTGATCCTTTCTTTTCTCCTTCAGCTTCACTGACCTCCCCACCTTGCCTCCTCCAGAAAGACCTCCCTGATTGCTCCAACTGTACACTCCCTGACCCCCATTTGAGGCCAAGTTTAGGGAAGAGGGGATTCTAAGCTCAACCAATAAGAGGAGTTGGGGGGAAACAAGATGGAGAAGATCTATACCCCCACCCCCACCCTGCCCAGGATTACGGGGCCAGGAGACCCCTCCACAGGGTCAGCTGGGAACAGGTGTCCCCAGCACCTGCCCCACCCACTGAAGCTAAGGAACGGGGGCAGCAGACACATCCAGTGAGTAGCATGGGGTCTCCCAGGGCCTCCGGCCTGAGGCCCAGCCTGCCGCCCCCTGCCCTTCCCCAGCCCAGCCAGGAGACCCACGTCGATGTTGGTGTTGTAGACGATGATCTCCAGCACCGAGTTGTCGGTCGTGGTGTCCACGTTGGTGAGGTCATAGAGGGAGGATGACACAGGCCCGTATGCCCAGTCGGTGAACTTCCTGGACAGGCTCCGGAGCCGCTTGTCCTTGATCTCACGGCTGAGAATGTACTTCAGGATCTGGGGACAGGAAGAGGAGCAACTGTCAGCCAGTGGACAGGGCCCGGGGCCAGCACAGCTGGGCCCCCCACCCCCACAACAGACAGGGCCTGGGAAGAGTCTCCCATGAGAGCCTGGCTGAGCGCCTGTTGCTGTGACCCCAGGGCCCCGCTTTATCTGTGGAATGAGCACAAGGCTTGCTGACCTGCACATTGCCCCAGAGACTGTGAATACCAGAGGCAAAGGGGTGAAGGCTCTTTGCAGACTTCAGAGAATTGCACAATCAGCTCACAGATCCTTCCACCAACTGGGGAGTCTGTTCAGGGAAGAATCTAGGAACTGACCATTTTGAGAAGCAATTTCTGTTTGACCTGAACTTGAGTTAGAAGTTTCTCCAGCTTTCAGATCCCACTCCTCGTCAAGACCCTGCCAGCTGAGGCTCACTGCTCTGGCCAGTCAGGGAGTGATGCAAGACACCAACCTTGGGAATTCCTGGGCAATCTAGTGTTTAAGACTCTGAGCTTCCAACACAGGGGCATGGGTTTGATCCCTGGTCAGGGAACTAAGAGCCCACATGCCGCATGGTGCGGTCAAAAGAAGATTTAAAAATTAAATTTTTTTGAAAAATTAAGAAGCACCAGGGCTTCCCTGGTGGCTCAGACAGTAAAAGAATCTGCCTGCAATTCAGGAGGTTCGATCCCTGGGTCGGGAAGATCCCTCAAAGAAGGGTATGGCTGCCCACTCCAGTATTCTTGCCTGGAGAATTCCATGCACAGAGAGCCTGGTGGGCTATAGTCCACAGGGTCGCAGAGTCAGATATGACTGAGCAACTAACACACAAGAAGCCAGCAGGCTTTTTCAGAGAGACTCGTGAAACCTAGGTCAGCGAGCTTCGCTCTCTGCTGAATGTTAGAGTTACTGGGTCACATTTAAAATCCCCACACCACCGACTAATTCAATCCAGATCTCTGAGGGTGGGACACCCAGTCATCTGCATGTTGTAAAGCTTCCTGGATGGTCCCAAAGTGCAGGCGAGATGGAGAGCTTACTAGTTCCCCAAAGCGAGGCCTGGGGACCACAAGACGTGGCAGGAATTCCTGGGGCACCAACTCAAGGCCCCGGAAGAGAGTCCTGATGGGGAAGACAATGTCAGGGCCCTGATCTCACGTGACCCAATGGGATTCCCACGTCATCTCACACGAGAGCCTAGTCTCTACAGACCAGGTGGGGAGCTTCTGGGGAGAGGGCACATCTCCCCTTCCTGCAACCCAGCCTAGAAGAATCCAAGGACAGGGACTGTGTCCTAAGCATGTCCTAAGCATCTCCATTCCCAGCACAGTGACCAACTTGAGCAGCATCCAGAAAGATGTCCAAAGAACAGTGAGTGAAGGAGAGAAGGGGAGCGGGAAGGATGCAGGGGACTCCCCAAGACTGACAAGGAGTGGTTGGGGTACAAGAAAGGCATATTTTCCTTCAGGGAACCAGGGGGTCATGGGCCAGGCTGCATGCAGGAAGCTTCATTTTGGGCTCTCCCCAGGGACGTCACATGCCACAGCGGTCCTTGGAGAAAGTTCCAGCTTGGCAACCACAATGACCCTCCTCAAAGCCCCCAGGAAGCTGTGTCCTTGGGGTGGGCAGGAGACCGGGGAGGCAGGCATACACACAATTGCTCCTTTGTCCAAGCTGTTCTCCCTCCCCGCTCCTCCCGCAGAGAATGAAAAGGTCCCTTGTGGGCACCAGCCCTGAGCACTGGGACGGGACCCAAGGCCCTTGGGGCAGCGCCTCCCTCAGCAGCCGCCCTGAGACTGGCACAGCTATTCCACGAGGGCCGCTCAACAGCCCCTCCGCCCCACACCCGCCCCCACGCAGCACCCCCTTGCAGCCTCCCCAGAGCCTTGATCCCCTCCCAGGGCTCAAGATATGAAGGCAGAAGAGGCTCTGCTATGACCCCAGCCCCAACCTGAGTCCTGCCCTGGAAATCGGACCAAGCCACAGCTCCAGCCACTTGGAGAGACAAGAGCCCTCCCCAGCTGAGTCCTCACCAAGGCTCCCAGTTAACCTGAGTTCCTTGGCCCGCATCTCAAGGGCACTAATGGCCACCAGCCACCGCGTCCTCCACTGGGGACTTGGCTCCATGTTTCAACCGGACAGACAGGCTGGGTGTCCCCAGAGTTGGGGAGCAGCCGCACATTAGCTCTGTATCCAGAGCAGACATTCTGGGCCTCCTGTCCTCACAAGAGGCTGAAGGCTCCGAGGGTCAGACACTCAGCCTCCACGTGGGTGCCTCGCCACATAGGAATCCTTGGCCACAGAGCTTGCATCACCGCAGCCCTAAGGCTCCGACACCCTGCCCAGGTGACGGGGTCTCAGGATAGGAGACAGAAACCCAGAGTGTCAGGGCCTGAGGTCCTAAGGGTGAGCCCCCGAGCTGCCTGGCCAAGACTCTGTGTGCTTGGCCACTCAGAAGGGCCCCCAGGAGAGCGTGCCTGCTGCCCTCCCACCTGCCGCCAGCTCGCCCACCTCGGCCTTGCCCATCTTGGCGGCCAGCTGCAGGGGCGTGAGTCCGTCGTTGTTGCGCGTGGTCTCTAGCTCCCACGTGCCGCTCCTCAGCAGGATCATGTCGTACATGCGCTTGACAAAGTCGTTCTGCGTCTTGAAGTCCTCAGCCACGGTCACCAGGGCGTGGAGAATGTTGTTTCCCCGCGAGTCCTGCGAGGCAATGTCCGTCTGCTCGTTCTCCATCAGCATCTGCACAATCTCGGGCTGGTTGGTACAGGCTGCCAGCGCCAGGGGTGTCTCGCCTGGGGGAGGGGGGCACAGGGGCTCGGTTCTCTCCTGGACCAGATCTTGACTTATATCTTAGTCAAGATCTAAGATCCAAACCTTAGATCGCGGTGATCGCCAAGGTCTAGGACTGGGGCTTCTCCAGACCATCTCAGTGGGAGTGGGAGTGAGAGACTGAAGTTGGATCATTGCTTCAACCTCCTAATGAGTCTCCCTGCTACCACCCTGGCCCTCTAACCCTATCCTCAGCACAGCCAGACTGATCCTGTTAACACAAAAGGCTTGCCTCACCCAGAACAAAAGCTTAGGTTCCAACAACAGCTTACAAGGCTCTATACCTTCTGACATCATCTCCTCCACGCCCTCCCTACTCACTCCCCTCCAGTCACAGAGGCCTTTTTCCTTTCCCCTCCCCCCTCCCCAGCACACACAGGTGCTTTTCTACTTCAGGGCCTTTGCACATTCTGTTCCCTCTGCCAGGTGTGCTGTTCCTTCTGCTGCATCACTTCCTCCCTCACTACCTCTGTCCTTGCTCAAACATCACCTGTTCAATGAATCACCGTAACTGCCCTGTTTAAAATTGAAACCCACCGCCTTCCTGCCCCGGAACTCCTGATCACCTTCCCTTGCTTCGCTTTGCCATGCTGTGCTCAGTCGTGTCCGACTCTTCTAGACTGCATGGGCTGTAGCCCACCAGGCTCCTCTGTCCATGGGATTCTTCAGGCGAGAATATTGGAGTGGGTTGCCATGTCCTCCTCCAGGGCATCTTCTCCAGGGATTGAACCTACATCTCCTGCATTGGCAGGTGGATTCTTTACCACTGAGCCCCCTGGGAAGCCCTCCCCTTGCCTTACTGTTTATTTTTTTCAACAGCACTTATTATTTTCTAACCTATTACATAACATTCTTAGTCATCATGTTTATTATTGATGGTCTCTCTCCCATCTAGAATGGCAGTTCCATGAGGGTAGAGATCTTGGTTCTGTTTACAGATATATTTCAAATATCTAGAACAATGCCTGGTGTATATAGTAAATGACAAATGTTTATTGAGAAAAGAGAAGGCAAGTGACTCACAGATGGTCACACAGCAAAGCGGGGAACAGAATCAGGGCTGGACATCGGGTCTCATGCTGTTTCCCTGCCAGTCTCCAACCTGTCCGCTCTCCTCATCCCACCTGACGAAGATTTCCCACCCAGGTCGGACCAGAGGCTGCCCAGACCCATCTAGTCCTGTAGGCTAACTAGTCCTACAGGTTAAAATCAGTAATAATAACAAAAAACACCCAGAAGAGAAAACAGATCCATGGCCATCAATCAGGCCCTTCTAGGAAGAGGAGTTAACTACAAAGTTGTACTTGGAAACTTTTTGGTGGGATGAAGCTCTTTGTTCCCTGTCCTGATCACAGTGGTAGTTACACAACTGTATGCATTTGTGGAAATGAACAGAACTCTACATTAAAATGAGTAACTTCATTGTATCTAAATTACATATTTTAAAAATTTTATTTTTCATCTGGGATAAGGCTTCCCTGGTGGCTCAGATGGTAGAGAATCTGCCTGCAAAGCAGGAGACCCAGGTTCCACCCTTAGGTTGGGAAGATCCCTTGGAGAAGGGAATGGCAACCCACTCCAGTATTCTTGCCTAGAGAATCCCTTGGACAGAGGAGTCTGGCGGGCTACAGTCCATGGGTCGCAGAGGGTTGGACACAACTGAACGACTTAACACAACACAGCCTAACCCCAATTGTCTTTGGACTCCCTAGAGTGTAGCCAGGGAATTTTCATCTTCTCACTTTTTACTCCCTGTTGCAGTCCTGAGAGGCACTAGACACAGGGAACAGAAGCCAGAGCTAATAGCCTGAATGCCTACATCGGCTCCTTGCTACACTGGAACAAGTCATTTCCCTTCTCAGAACCTGTCTCCTCTCCCATCAAATAGGGTTTAAACTGAGGTTCTGTCCTTGCCCTCCTTCCTGGTCCTGGTTCCCTGCAGAGGGCTGCTCAGGTGAATGGCTTTGTCCCCTCTAAGACCCCCAGGGGACACTTCTGGAATGCAGGCTCCCCATCTTCCCCACGACTCCGCGACTTCCTCTCTGGTCCAGCCTGGTGGTCCCATTCGGATACATCAGCCCCTGCCGCCTCTCTGGTTACAGCTCTGTCCTCCAGGGTCCTCCCACACAACCCAGCAGGCAGAGGCTGGCAGTGGGGTCTCCAGGCCTCAGTCGGCTAGCGCCCTTCTTAGGGAAGGAGCCCCACCCCGCCCTCCACCCGCTCCCAAACCCCGGACCCCGGACCCCAGACCCTGGACCCCAGCCCAGGCGGGGGCGCACCCACCAAAGTAGAAGCCTTCGTGCTGGTACTTGGGGTTGAAGAAGACCCCCTTGGCGTGGGCGTTGACGTCGGCCCCGGCCGCGATGAGCACCGCGGTGATGTCTCCTTGTCGCCGCTCGATGGCAATGTTCAGCGCCGTCTGCCCTGTGGACCAGACGGGGTGGGTGAGGGGCACTCAGCGGCTGGGACCCGGGGTACCACATCCTCTCCGGCCGTTCCCCTCCCTAGCCTCTGTACCCTCCATGTTACCATGGAGAAATGCTAGCTGCCTGTCTGGTCGGTGTCGCCCAGCTACAAGGGTCCTAACTTCATTCTTTGCTTCATTCCCTCTTGCCTGGAAGCAAGGATTATCCTTGGAGCATCTGTTCTGTGCTCCAATGGGGACACGACGGGACAGGACTATAGTTTTCATTCTTGTCCTCTGGAAGCTCACAGTCTCCCTGAGAATTAAGTGCTGTGATGGGGGCAGTACACGGGCTGTGGTACCCAGAGGTGCTCTTAACACAACCTGGAGGACTGGGGTGCTTCCCAGAAGTGGCCTCTCAGCTGGGATCAGGATCAGCCTGTAACCAGGCTGAATGGGGCCGACTCAAAGCCTCCTAACTCAGGAATAAGAGGTTAGAACTTCAGGGCCTTCACCAGTGGTCTGGTGGCTGACTCCATGCTACCAGTGCAGGGGACTGGGGTTTAATCCCTGGTCAGGGGACTAGATCCCAAATGCTGCAACTAAGACCTCAGGCAGTCAAATAAATAAATATTACATATTTTTTAAAAAAGAGGTTAGAACTTTATCTTAAAGGCTACAGGAAGGCATAGGAGGCACTGAAGCAGGGACGTGACATGACCAAAGTTTGGGGTTTTGTTCATATGTGTTTCAGATCACTCTGGCTGCAAAATTGGAAGATGCATTAAAAGGAGCCCAGACACGTGAAGAGCTGTCCATCCGGTGCACCCAAAGATCCTTAGGAGGAAGAGTCTTCAGGAAGTTCTGTGGGGTTTGGAGGAGGCGTGCCTCAGGCAAGATCCAGGCATCTAGCCTGGGTGCTGGGTGCACAGTGCCCTGATGACTAAGAGAGAGAACAGGGGAGAAGAAGCAAGGGGGGGCAGGGGGACACTGACCCTGCTTGTGGAGCCTAGAGAACCTCCAGACAGAGGGGACCAGAAGCCTGGGGGGTGGGGAGGTCTCAGAGCTTTCTAGCAGAAATAGCATTTCCAAAGAGCTGCCATCATGCCATACATAAAAGTAAAGCCTGGTGGATTAAAAAACTAAGCGTTTTTAAAAACTGGTAAATTGTTTTTAAACTAAACTTTATTTATTTTAATTGGAGGGTAATTACTTTACAATATTGTGACTTTTTGCAGGGAAAAGCTTCTTAAGCAAAATCCAAAATGCAGAAACCATAAAGGAAAAAACTGACATATTTGCTTACATAAAAATTAAACACATTTGTTTGTATAAAAATTAAACACATTTCTGTGTTTCAAAAGACATCTTAAAGAAAGTGAAACAAGTGATAGACTAGAGGAAATATTTGAGATGTATAAAAGTGTCAATGTGTTTTTAAGAGTCCATAATGAATTAAGAGCTGCTAGAAATCAATAAAAAGACAAGCAGCCTAAAAGAAAACTGAGAAAAGTTTATCTACAAGTACCTCACAGAGAAGAAAACACACACAGCCAATACAGAAAATGAAAGATATTTGGAATCGTGGTAATCAGGAAGATGAAATTTTGAACTTAATGATTTAACACTTTTCACCTACCAGACTGGCAAAAACCAATAATAGTAATTATAACACACACACACACACACATAAATAGATAAATATAAAAAAATTACTCTTTCCCATGAGAAAAGTTAAGTTCCCAAGCCAGATTCCCACCTGCAAAAACTGACATGTTTAGTACCCATGATATATCAGCAAAATGACATCCAGTTATTCTTGGACCAGTCATTTTTGTCACAAGCATATCATAAGATCCTAACAGGATGTCTATTGACTCCAAAAAATCAAAGACACACCTTACTGATCATTCACAATGGATTTCCTGAGCAGGAAACATCCCAAGTTTGGTCTCACTGACCCCTCTCCAGCCCACCTCAGAGAGAAGCCATAAAATCAAGACCCACATGGAGTTGTAATAGTGATAACGATGATTTGACTTCCTTAGTAGTCCAGTGGCTAAGACTTTATGCTCCCAGTTCGGGGGGCCTGGGTTCAATCCTTGGTGGGGGAGCTAGATCCCACTTAGACCACAACTAAAGATCTCACATGCCACAACTAAATTTCCCATGTGCTGCAACTAAGACCAGGAGCAATAAAAATAAATATTTTTTTTTTAATGGAGTGTCTTATATTTTAGACATGGTGCCTATGACATATTTTTTTGAAAAAACTGATGATGATGATGACGACAATACTACTAGTTGCCATGTGTTGGCCCTGCCCAGCTCTCTAGCCTCATCTCCAGCCTTCTTGCCATCACTCAGCTGTGTCAAATTCAGTCCTATCTCGGGCTTTTGCCCTTGCTTTGTCCTGGATCCTTATCATGCTGGCTTCGGGTGCTCTCTGACTACCCGCACTAAAGTTGCCCATGCCCAATCACTTTTGATGACATTATCTTTCTTTCTTTTTTTTTAACTTTTCTTTTCATACATTTTCTATCAGTTTTGAAAGTACCTTATTTAGAGCCAACAAGCTGCATCTGTCTTGTTCAATCCTGTGCTCTGGAGCCAAAAGCACTGCCTGGGACATGGTCAGTGCTCAAGATTGTTTGTAGAATGAAGGAAGGTGCTGGACACCATGTTAAGTGCTTTGGGCTTCAGAGACAGCAGTGCTTGTGTGTGGCATGATCCGCCCCCCCATAGGCAAGTACCTTCGTAGGCCTCCTCCGTGTACTCAGCGTTGATAAACCTGTCTAGGATGTCATTTTCCTCAGCAAAGGCAAGAAGGATCCGCACAATCTCCTTGGTGTTGGGGTTGATGTTTAACAAGGCCTTCATCAGGCAGGTCTTGCCCGTGTCCAAGGCCGTCAGCTTGTGCATGAGGAAGTCTGCAGGCAGGAGGGCAGAATGGAGCCGCAGTACAGTGGGGCCCCAGCTGCCCTTGGCCCTCCCAGCCCGGAGGAGGGGAGACTGGATTGTGGGGGCTGCAGCCCCAGACCGCAAGACCCTGCCCAGGCCCTCCGCTGAGCTCCCTGCCCCAAGCTCCTCCCCTCCCTCTTTTCTGTCCAGTTCTTCCTCCTCCAAGACCTTTGCTCTTGGCCTTCTGCACCATCTCCCTGGCAGGGGGCAGTCCCACTGCTTGACTTCCTATTGTCCAGCTCAGAAATCTCAAGCCCACCACCCCTCACCCTGGCTGCTTACACATAGAGCTATCCGCCTTCCTTTAACTCGCTACTTCCCTGGTCCCCAAGACGGCTCAGGCCCCACCAGCCACCAAGTCTCCCAAGTCCAAGTGGCACCACCCTGGATTCAGTCCTCACGTCTTTGAGTCCACGAAGAGCTGTTCTCCGTCTCCCAGGCCTGCTGCTGGGGTCCCAGCTCTGCCTGAACAGCAGCCTTCTCCGGATTTACCCCCATCCTCTGCCGAGTAGCCAGACCATGACCACCACCTGTCTAAGCCCTTCCATGGCTCCCCATTGCCCTCAGAATCAGGTTCAAAGTCGCCAGCCCAGCCTTTAAGGCTGAAGGGCAGGGCGAGGGGTGGAGGGATGGAAGGAGGTGGACGGCAGGGGCCGAGCAGGAGCCCCAGCCCTGAGCCCTGGGCCAGGGGCGGGCACTGACCAGGCACGTCCATGCTGCGGCGCCGCTTGCAAAGCTCCTGCAGCTCCCCCAGCAGCTCCAGCAGCTCCTCCACGCAGCCCTCCGACACCGCCGTGAAGATGCGTTTCTTCAGCCGCTTCTTTTTGCGCCTTTGCTCTTCCTTGGCCAGGTTTGCGCTGAGGCCAGAAAATGTTTCCAGCTCACCACACATACACCACCCCTCTGCAGGATCTCACCTTCCTCCAATAGAGCCACTGTGCTCACAGGCTGTGCCCACAGGGCGTTGCCCAAGCCTTTACATCTGCACATGCCCATCACAATACCTGACATCCCCTCCCTTAGTGCTGGGGGAAGGGGGAGGAGGATTTGTGTGCTGCTCCCCTTCTAATCTAAAGGCAATCACGTTTTAGCAAACTGTATCTCTAGTTCCACATAGTAATGATCCGGAAAGATAGCACCTAACCGTTCATTGTGATGACCTCGAAAGCACAAGATCACAGAAAGAGAAATTGCACTTCCATATTTTGTGTTGTTCGAATGTTTTTAATATATTCAAATATCTCTCTCCCTACCCCCACACTCAAAATGGAAACACTATTTTGTAGAAACAGCTGTAGAAACACATTGCTGCATAATCCTTCCGTGTGTGTGTGTTCTTGCAAAATGCACATTGATGTTTGATGGTTGCATGCATGTATTTTTAGTTTAAGTATATGGCATTGCATTAAGTTCTCATTCTGTTGCATGCTGTTATTCTGGTGTTTTATGATGAATGGATATTACTTTTATAAAATATAATACTCCCTCCCTCCCCCCAAAAAATGACTTACATGCCACTGCCATGGGCCCAGACATTTGTCCCAGCACCCAACAGTGGTGGCCTCTTTCTTCTGCAGAATCCAGGTGCCTGCCCTCCTAGCACTGCCTGGGGGCACAGTAGGAGGAGGGGGAGGGCCCGGCTCACCTGGGACTGTTGGGATTGGACGGGGTCTCTGTCACGTCATCCTGAGGAGATTGTGGGGAATCCATGTCATCACAGTTGCCAGAGACACTGGAAGGGAGTGGGGAGGGACCAGTTTTTAAATGGGCAGTGGTAGCATGCCACAGCCAGGCCTGACTGTGTGGCCCAGGGCGAGTCCCTGCCTGCCCGCTGGAGCCCAGGGCTGGAGCACTCACCATTGCCGGATGTTGGAGTCCATGGGCTTGGAGAAGATGGGGGGAGAGGTCTTGGCCACCGTGGGGTTGGGCTCGAACCCTTCTATCTCCAGGAAGAAGTGTGCACTGGCGGGGGACACCCAAACAAGCCCATTAGAGCTAGGGCAGGGCTTGTTCACCTGTTGTGTCCTGAAGCTCCGCTGCCAAGGGTGCCCACCTCACTGAGTGCTCGCTCCCAGTTAGGCCCAGACAAGCCTGGAAGGCTCAGAGCTAGTCCAGAAATGGGGCATAAACGACGTGAGGGCAGGGCTCACTGATACATTGGCCCCCACCTTCCTGTCTCCTGCCCATCAAAAGGAACCTTCTGACTTGACCTAAAATCAAATCATTCTTCCAAAAGAGAGGAGCAAACCCCTAGTTGAGGGCCTAAGGCCAGGGTTCTAGGCTGCCTCTGCCTCTCCAGTTGTGTGACCCCAGGTAGTCATTCACTTTCTCTGGGTCAAGTGTCTTCACCTACAGAGACTGGGCTAGATGCTCCCTAAGGCCTGGACTCAGGAGCTGCGCTGCTCCAGAACTGTCTCCTTATGGACCGTCCACCTGAAGTGGGCATCAGAGACCATCCTATGCAATCGATCACCTTTCTCTGCACCCCTGCAGTCCCCCAGAACTGTCACCCCAAAGTTTTCCCCACACCACTATGGTGGCTCTGACCCAGCCACTACAGACACATCCACTAGAAGCTCAGTCCCAAAACATCCTGGCTGAGATGTGCTAACTGTCTCCAGGCAGAGCCTGATGACCCTCACACCAGCAGCTCTTTCCCCAATTGATCCAGCCTCTGCCCTATCCTCCATCCCACCTTACCTCTCTGAGCTCAGTAGTGCATTTACTAACAAACATTTACACATACAATGTGCCAAGCACTATTTTAGGAGCTGGGGAACACTGTGATGAACAAGTAGACAAAAATGCCTTCCCTTGCAAAGCTCCTGTTCCAGTGGGTTGGTAAGAAGAGACCAGGTTATAGCACAGTGAAGCCATTGCTTTCCTTGCTCTAGACAATAACACACTGTCTTTCGGCTGTAAGTTCTTCAGTGGTGGGAACTACAGTTGCAGCATCCCAAGTCTCTAGAACCCAACCCTGATCGTGACACTCAGAAGACCTAACAATGGATGAGTGTAAGGATGGAGAGGTGAAAGATAAATGCATAGAAAAAAGAATGACTGGTTGGACAGATGAATGGATGGTTAAATAGGTAGGTAGATGACAGATAGTGGGAAGGATGAATGGATGGATGGATGGATGAGGAATGAATACTTGGCTGGATAAATGGGTGGACAGATGGAGAAACCAATAAGGAAACAGACCAACACAACCTTAAACTGTAAACTGTGGGAGGTTGCTTCCCTCGACAGGAAGATGAAGGCTGTAACTGAGAAAGGAGGTCTTCAGTGTCTGGGAAGGAGGATGATGAGAGTTGAGCTGGAAGGGACCCAGTTGTGGGTCAGGAGCTAACTCCTGGGACGGCCTGTCCCACACCTGCCCTGCCTGCCCCTGCACGTGCCATATCTCATCCACCAGCGAGAGCAGACGTCAAGGTCTTGGCCAGGTGACATCCTGGCTCCTGATCTGTAGCAGGTGCTCTTTGTTTACGCCATCTTTGACCCAGGCCAAAAGGAACCACCGCCCGTGTGTCATTAACACAGGTAGGCAGACAGCCCTGCGTCCTTTCTCCTGCATTTCTGTTCCTTTGAAGGCAGAGAACGATCCCTAGGCAATCCCTAGGTCCTAGGCTGGGGAGGAACTGATCTCTCCTACTTTGTCCCACGGAGAGCCCAAGGGCTCTGAGCTTCAGGGCCAGCACCTCTACAGCCTTTGGCCTGGGCCTGTATCCCTGGGCAAGGCGAGGCCCAGGGACAGGAGCCCCAGCAGCCTCTCACAGAGAGGGGCATGATGCTTCAGGAAAAGCTCCAGGTCCAAAAATTTCCCTCAAATCTGGAGTTTTGGGTGCCTCCAATTTCACCATTAGTACATATTTCCTTAGCAGTCAGAACTGCCATCTTTATTTATAAATAATATTTAATTTTTTCTTTGTAAACCTGAGTCCTATACTCAGTTCTGAGGGAGATGCCTAAATCTTTGGGGTCTGGGGAGAAGTAGGCATGTGAGGGCCCTCAAAAAGCCTTGGGAAGGAGAAGGGATCACCTATTCAGAAGACCAAGGTCACACCTCACACCAGGCCCTTGGCTGGGCAGGGAGCATGGGCAGAGGTAACCCTGGAACTAAGTTCATGAACCAGGCTGGGCCCAGAAGGACAGCCTGACTGCATGAAGAATCTGGGATTTTCCTAGAACGCTGTCCTCAGTCCTTCTCTGAGGTCCAAACCTCCCCTGGGAAAGTGAGAAGGAAGGGAAGGGGGAAGGGAGGCAGGAAGCTGAGTTCAAAGATATCTCTGCTCTAGGACTTCCCTGGTGGTCCAGGGGTTAAGACTCTGTGCTTAATGCAGGGGATGGGTGTTCGATCCCTGATTGGGGAACCGAGATCCCATTTGCCATGAGGAAAAAAAAAACAAAACCCAGATATCTCTGCTTCTACTCAGGCAAGCCTCTCCAGAAACAGGCTTCCCCCACAGGCCTCTGACACCTGTCTGATCTCTATGTCCACCCAGTCTTCTCTCCTATGCTCCAGATTGAAGCTTCTACCTGAATGTGCCTCTAGTATCTCTCAGCCAACATTTCACACCTGAACTTGGCTCTTTCCTCCTGACCTTGCTCCTGCTCCTCTGAAGTACTGATGTCAGAGATAGCCCTGTCATCCATCTGGGTCCCCCCATCAGGATTGGTAATGTCTCTCAGTCCTCCTTCTCCCTCCCCTCCCATAGTTGATACTCCATGATGCTAATACCTCTTTGATCCCTGTCTCCTTCACCATTTCTCACCACCAGGCTCACCACCTATCATCTAGGCAACAATCACAACAGACTCCCCTCTGATCCATCATCCCCACAGATCACCCAGAGTATCGTTGCTGCTGCTGTAAGTTGCTTCAGTCGTGTCCGACTCGGTGTGACCCCATAGACAGCAGCCCACCAGGCTCCTCTGTCCCTGGGATTCTCTAGGCAAGAATACTGGAGTGGGTTGCCATTTCCTTCTCCAAGAGTATCATTTCCACAATGCAAATCTCGCCATGCCCTCCCTCTCACACAAAAGCCCTCCATAGCTCCCCACTGCCCCAAGATATCCAGTCTCAACTGACAGCCAAGACCCAGCCTCAGAGGGGCTCATCCCCCCGCCTACCCAGCACTTTAACCACATGGGACTCCTCACTGGTTCCTGCCCCAAGCCCTGCCTGGGATGTTCTTTCCCTTCCTGTCCTCCCACCGTCATCCACGGTAACACCAGCTCTTCTACAAAGTACCCACAGAATCAGAACACCCGCCCCTCCTCAGGCCCAGCCCACCCTCTCTCCAGGCCACTCCCCGCATTCTCGCTGGGGCCCCCTCACCATCCAGACTGTGAGCAGAGGTGGGTGTTCTTTCTCTCGTGTCCCAGTCTCGCCAGCCTGGGCCTAGTGCTCAAAAGACCTCAGCAATTATCACTCGAACCAACAGAAGGGAAAACACCAAACTCACCTCGGCCTAAGACGGGCCTGGGATGGGGTAAAGGAGGTGGGGCAAACAGGCCATGCTAGACCCAGGGCCCACCCGGGTCTAAGGGAAGCAGAGCTGGGGTGAGGGAGGGCGCTCAGGTTGAAAGTGAGAGTGTCAGTCACTCAGTCGTGTCTGGCTCTTTGCAACCCCATGGACTGTAGCCGGCCAGCCTCCTCTTAGCATGGGATTCTCCAGGCAACAATACTGGAGTGGGTCGCCATGCCCTCCTCCAGGGGATCTTCCTGACCCAGGGATCAAACCCAGGTCTCCCGTACTGCAGGCGGATTCTTTACCAGCTGAGCTACCAGGGAAGCCCAAGAATACTGGAGTGGGTTGCCATGCCCTTCTCCACAGGATCTTCCTGACCCAGGGATCAAATCCTGGTCTCCCACATTGCAAGCAGAGTCTTTACTGTCCGAGCCACTACTCAGGCTAAAGGGCACCAAGTCAGCTGAGGGGGTGGGGGGACTGCAATGGGGGCAGCTCAGGGGCCAGCTATGACCCCAGAAAAGTACTTTGTCTGCTCCCACCTCTTCCGTGTTCTCACCTGGGAAGTGATCATAACTGTCCCAGTCCTGCCCCATTCCCAGGGGCCCTGGGGAGTGACAATGACAATAACGACAATGAAGACAAAGTTCAAGGCAATAAAACACCATCGGGCTAACAACTCTGCCATGCACCTTGTCAGCACAATTGCAATTAACCATCACTCTATGGACTGGTGTCCCCCTTACACAGGTGGAGTTGGAGAGCTTGAATTACCTGGCTGGGCACCTAGTGGCTATGAAAGCCCCCCAGTGGACATGGAAAATGTACCCAGGAGGGAGCCCCTGCTAATCGGGAATTTCCACCCACTTTTCAGCTCCTTGTCTCAGGATGACTTCCAGCAACTCCCTGCCACCCCAGAAGCCTCTCTGAAGGCTTCTGCCTCGGTGCCCCAGCCCCTCCAGTTGTACTGACCTCTCCAGCTCAGCCCCAGAGTGTGCAGGGCTCCCCCCTACACACACACACATCCCCACTTATACCTGGCTGGGCACCAGGGCACCCCAGATGAGAATGGAGTCTCAGGTCCACCCCCAGCAAAGGCTCCCTGAAGTGGGTGCCAGGCCCCTCCCGTGCCTCTCGCCGCAGCACCCAGGCCCGAACCTATTGGCCCTACCTCTTCTTGGTGGGGGTGATCTCTGACGGCCTCTTCTCCTGCAGGATGGCAGGGTTCACAAAGGGGATGGTGGCTCTTCTGCCCGTGAGGGGCACCATCTCCTTGGGGTGGGTGTTCATGGCTGGAACACAGTTGCAGTGCAGATGCTCAGATTGAGGGGACAGGGAGGAGCTTCAGGGGGGTTTTCAGACCAGGTGGCCCCTGTTCATACCTGCTAGGATGGGAAGCTCATTCTATCTTTCCAGGCTGCCAACCCTGTATAGGTTTGATGTCCCTGGTGGCTCAGATGGTAAAGAGTCTGCCTGCAGTGCAGGAGACCCAGGTTTGATCCCTGGGTCAGGAAGAGGCCCTGGAGAAGGGTATGGCAACCCACTTCAGTATTCTTGCCTGGGAAATCCCATAGACGGAGGAGCCTGGAGGGCTACAGTCCATGGGGTCACAAACAGTCGGACATGACTGAATGACTAACGCAACAGTGCATAGACTGTCCCTGCAGTTTCTCTTGCTCACTGCTTCAGCACCCCTGCTCCTGAGGGTCCTAGGAGAGCCCATCAGAGCTTCCAGGTAGAGACCACCATGCCCTTGACCTCTCTCCAGTCATCTGCCCCAGCCCAACCCATCTCCAGGGAGATTCCTGAGAATTAACTCTGCTTTTTAAGTGTCTCAGGATCTGTGTTCAGAATGCTCCTTGACAGAGCAGGACTGTTACCTCCTTTGTTCTAGACACGATGCTGCTAGTAACACAGCCCAGATCTCTCTAGTCTTTTAATTTCTCATACCCCTGGTGCTCTCTTTTGCTAACACGGAAAGCATCTTTCTCCCCTACCCAAAGCTGAGCATAACCAGCCTCGTGGCTATCTGTCCATTGGAGGGAGCAGCTGAGCCTCATCCTGCTCAGCATAGACCTGTCTTACTGATGCTCATAGGGGCTGGACCCTATGTTGGGGTGGAGGGAATACTAGAAAGAGAAACTGATATGTCTTCCAAGGAAACTGAAAGGAACTTAGAGGTTTCTGTGTGGCGGGGGAGGACTGTCCAGGCAGAGAGGATAGCCTGAGCAAAGACCAGGGGTCAAGAAAGTTCAGCAGGGGACAAGGAGCTGGTGTGACTGGACCCGTGGGCAGTAAGAGGCTCGAGAGCGTGTTGGGCCTGGAACAGCAGCAGGAATGTGGCTGAACCTGAGGGCAGGGGGGACGTGAGAGGGATCTGGGTCCTATAGGAGACAGCAAGAGGGAGATAGAGGAGGCCAGAGGTCAGGGGGAGGCTCCTGCAGGGCCAGCCGGATGGGGATGGTGGGCTGGCCATAGAGGAAGAGGCGGACAGGGGAAAGGACAGGAGGTGACTCTGCAGTTAGCTTGAGACACCCTCAGAGACATGGAGAGGCCAGAGCGGGTGATTTCTTTAAAAAGAGCCCATCTGGGTGGAGGGAGGCCATTGGTGATCCTGACCCACATAGGAGAGCTCTCTGGAAGAGGTGTCTGGATTGTGTTGTGTTCAGACTGTGTATTAGTGTTAGTCGCTCAATCACGTCCAACTCTTTGCAGTCCCATGAACTGTAGCCCACCAGGCTCCTCTGTCTATGGAATTCTCCAGGCAGGAATATTGCAGTGGGTTACCATTCCCTTCTCCAGGGGATCTTCCCAACCCAGGCATGGAACCCAGTTTTCCTGCACTGTAGGCAGATTCTTTACCATCTGAGTCACCAAGGAAACCTGATACGTAGAATTACACTATTACAATGATTTTATGTTGGATTTTTAGTCATATACATTGGAGGCATGGTTACAGACTGGGTATNGGCGGGGGCAGGGGGCATCAGCTCTGGGGTGCAGGCACCTCGAGGCAGGGAGCTCCAAGGGGGGGCCTCAGGCATTCCATTCAGAAAGACCCGTCAGCACCAGGTCCCCGGCCATATCCACAGTCATACCACCTCCATCAGCCCAAGGCGACCTGTGGACGGATGGGGCTAAAGGCTGGGCTGGGCCAACCCTGGAAGAGAGGAATGGAGGGCAAGTCCCTTATTCCTCCCTGAGACTGTTTTCCCTTCTGAGAAATGGGCTAAAGGGTCTCCTATGTCTCTCTCCTATGACCTCTGGCTGCTCCGTCTTCTCTGCTCTGGCCAGTGAGTGTAGGGCCGTCCCTACCCGAGCAGGAGAGGGTCAGGAGAACTGAGGCCGGGGAGACTGCAGCAGCTATAATTAACTGTCTGAGTCACCTCGTAAACCTGTGTTCTCACCTGCTGGACTCTCTCACGGGCCTGGCCCTCCCATCTCAGGGATTGGGCTTCATCACCTGAGAAGTGTCTCCCAAGCCCCAGCACAGTCTAGGATGGCCTTTCCTGGGAGATGGTGCAGGCCCAGGGCCACAGGGCCCACCTCCATCCAGGGCTTACTGGCTCAGCCCTTATGAGACACCTGGGCCCCATCCCTCTCAGGCTCTGGGCCTTCTCATCCCATCCTGAGATCCCATCACACTGCTGCCCTGGAGTTCACATCCCCAGGGCCTGTTAGGGGTGTCAAGAGCCTCACTTCTGCCCTGGGCAGCTATGAGTTTCCTCCCTCCCTGAGACCCCAAAACCAGCGAAAGGTGCCCACTTCCATCAGAGCCTGTGCTCTTACACACTCCCAGTGGCCAAGAGCTCACATCCAACTTTGCCTCCCCTGCTAGAGGCCCAAGCTTTCTCCCAGTCCCAGCTGAGACCAATCAGCAAAGGCCAGGCATGGCCCAGAGGGACCCCTGAGGTCCTCGCTCTGGGCCCCCGGGACCTTGGAGAGCACTCGATACCTGTGCGGCAAAGACTCATCTGGTGAAGTCCAGGTGTGGCAGTGGCTGCCTTGTTCTCAGATCACCGCATGTCCAGGGCCTGGGGCCTCTCGGCGGGACTACAGCCGAGGTGGCGAGAGGCTCTCATCGTAGTCAGAGGGATGGCTGGAATGAGGTGTCAGAGGCAGAACTGGCTGGGTCACCTGCCCTTGGTGCCAGGCAGGCCACGCCCACCAGCCACAGCTACAGCGCCAGCCCACCGCCCACGTGCAGGCCTGAGTCACCCCCACGCCCACAGGGCAGCCTCACCCCAACCCAGGAGAAGACAGGGAGATGGCAGGTACCAAGACTAAGGGTCTGGTCCAACTCTTCTCTGGTATTTGTTGCCTCACATCACAACCCTCATCGCATTTACTTCCCAAGGATGCTGTGAGAAGTCAGAGATCCTGCTAGTAGGAAGGCCAAACGAACTGAGTGCTCAGGGTCAACCTGGGAGGCAAGGCCACCACCAAGGGCTGGCCCATTGACCCCACAGTGGCCACCTCCAAGGCTTGGTTTCCATCCTTCAAAACCTGGAATCAAGTCCCCTTGGAGACAGTCTCCATTCAATGCTTCCCAGCGGAAATTATGCACCACAGACCTGGGTATCAGACAGCTTCACCCCTAGACTGTATGACCTTGGACAAGTCATTTCTCATGAGACTCCATTTCTCCATTGTGAAATGTGCATAATAAACCTACCTTGCAAAGGTACCACAGGGCTTACATGCAACAGCACATAGAAAGGGCTAGAACAAGGACCAGAGCACAGAAAGAACTCTATAAACAATGACAGCTATGAACTGTTACTATTTTATCCTGCATTCAACTGCCAGGCCACCTGTTTCCAAGGCCGGAGCATCAGGGTAGACTCTGAGCCCTCCCTCCTCTCCCAGGCCACAGCTGTGAAGAGGGTGGAGCAGGGCTGGGACAGCCCTGACGGTCTCTGCATCACTCAGGAATTACACACCTGTTCCCACAGGCGAGACAGGACTGGAATGGAGCAGGAAGTCTCTACTGACAGGGATGGCACCGGTGACCCATGTGGCAGAGACTTCCTTGGGTGCCATGGGAACAAGGCCCTCCATCTTTCATCAACACAGCCTGCCAGACCTGGGCAGAGGCAGGAGGCAGGTCAAGATTCTGACCATGGGACAGCAGGACCTGTGGCCAGTAAGACACAGAAAACCTGGATCCATGGCTGACAAGCTTCAGGTGTGAGTGAAGAGGGGGCCGCTTCTTCAGTTTAAGTCAAGGGGGCCCCAAAGCTTCCCAGGTGACCCAGTGGTAAAGGATCTGCCTACTAATGCAGGAGACACAAGAGACACTGGTTTGATTCCTGGGTCAGGAAAATCCCCTGGAGTAGGAAATGGCAACTAACTCCAGTATTCTTGCCTGGAAAACTCCAAGGACAGAGGACATGGTGTGCTACAGTCTAAGGGGTTACAAGGAGTCAGACAAAACTGAGCAAATGCACGCACACGCGTACACACACACGTGAGCACACAGCCCAGGCACACATCCTAACTTCATCACTCCCTGAAACTCCATTAAAGCCCCATCTTAGATCAAACACAGTCTGTTCTCTATTACTCCAGTAATTGCCCCTCCTGACTCAGCCCCCACCCCTCCCAGCTTGTTCCTCCCTGACTGCTTCCGAGCCCTAAGGGTGAAGCTGTTGCCCAACTGCCGTATTTGCATTTTGCCACGTGTGTTAGCACATTTTCTCAAAGACCAGCCTGGCTAAAATGGCCCCTACCTCCCTCTCAAAGGCAAGCAGTGTGCCCAGCACGGAGAAAGGGGAGCCCCCTCTGCTGTGTGTGGAGCATTGGCTGGTCTGCATTCAATCCCATTTAATCCAACACATCATGGGAGCCCACAGTGGGAGGCCAGGCAGGAAGCCAGGGCCCAGTGAAGGGTTCAGAACTGGGGAAAGTGGTCTCCGCCCTCAAGGACACGTGAGCCACAAGGCAGCCAGGCTCGGGTAGGAAACCTAACCCCACCAAACAGGTTGGAGGACAAAGAGGACGCAGGCTACCCAGGAGGAGTAAGCGCCTCTAATGGGGGCTGCGGGAGGGATTCAGTGAAGAATTTTTGGGTTGGGCTTGGAAGGAGGGAGTGATAGGGACAGAGTAAAAGGACAAAGTAGGTGATTAAATCACTTCCCTGGTGGCACAGTGGTAAAGAATCTGCCTGCCAATGCAAGAGACTCGAGAGATGTGGGTTCGATCCCTGGGTTGGGAAGATACCCTGGAGGAGGACATGGCAGTCCCCTCCAGTATTCTTGCCTGGAAAATTCTGTGGACAAAGGAGCCTGGTGGGCTACAGTCCATGGGTTTGCAAAGAGTTGGACACGACCGCAACTGAGCACACACAGGTGATTAAATAGTTAATCCCACTAGGGGACTGTAGGTAGAAAAAATATGGGAGACCCCTGTAAGTCAATGATTACTCAAGAAAGGTTTGCTTAACCACAAAACCGAGCAGGCTTGCTTAGCAACAAGACCATGCAACAGAAGCATGAGACATTTCCCCAGACAATAAGATAATGGTGGCATGAGCCCCACATCCTGCCCACTGAGCTCAGTAAGTTCGTGATTCCTAGGACAAGCTCTCTGTACACATAGAAAACAGTAATTTGTGGGCCTAGCTTGACCATGTAGGAACAAGAAAATTCCCCTGCTCAACCTGGAGGAGGAGCTGATGATGGAAGCATGATGTCTACTCAAGAAAGACAAAGAAGTTCTTCTCCTCCTCCCTACTTTTCCTTTGATTATAAAACTGCAGCCCACTAAGGTCTCAGGGCATGGCATCTCTCGCCTACCAGTCTGTAAACCTCAGAAGCCTCCTATTCTAATAAATCACTTCTTATCTATCACTTTGCCTCTAGCTGAATTCTTTTCTGTGCTGAGACATAAAGGACCAAGGTACTGAAACGACACCTAATGGTGTCAGGACAGTCTAAACGGGAAGCGCCATGGAGCAGAGACTTGGAGGCAAGAGACTTGGGCACATTCAAGGAGTGGTGACAACCCTGGGGAACGTCTAAACTCGGGGGCATCAGAGATGCTCTGTCAAGCCTGGCTTCAGCCACGGAGTGGCCCCAGGGCACTGAGTCAGCCCTGACCCCTGAGGGGGACACACCAGGTGGGTGTTGAGCAGACTCCTCTCCTCCCCACATCTTCCAAGCCCTGCAGACATCAGGCCCAGGCTGTGGGCTCGCAAGTATCCCCTTCTCTAGGAAAAAGAAGTGAGGAGGGGATCTCTGTGGGGTAGGTGCAACCAGGGAGAGACAGACTTCTTGGCCTGTTCTGGGAAATGCCCCACTTGGTGCAGAGAGGAGGGAGAGGGGGATCAGGAGCCAAGGAGACCTCCATCAGCAGCCTCAGGCCTGAGCGGACCCACCTGAAGGTCAGTAGAGGGTCTGTCTGTGTCCTGGCTGCCACAACTGTCCCTGGGCTAGCAGAGCTGAGCAGCCTGCCCGTGGGGGATTCATGCTACCTCCGAGTGATGGAGAGCAGGGGACATGGGAATAGAGAGAGAGATCAAGAGACAGCAACAGATGCAAAAAGATCAGTCTGGTTGCAGGTGTGTCCTCCTTTAAACAATGCCAGTTCACACAAAAGGTTGTAATCATTCATTTTACAAAAGAGTACCTACAAGATCCCTCTAGAACTAAGTTTGAAAGTTGATCCAATTTGCAGAAATTTTAAAACATCTGACATCTATATGTTTTCTGAGGAAGGCCTACAAGTAAAGCAAGTATTCCCAAACTGAACAAGAAAGCAGAAGCCCGCACGTCTCCCTTCCTACCCGGGGATAGGCTGGCATGCCCCAGCTGGTTCTCTGCTGCTCAGCCTAGCATCACAGTCAAGTTTGAGCTTTGGAATCTGATTTGCCTGGGGTCAGACCCAGGCATTGCTGTTTACTGGCCATGTAATCTTACTAACAGTCCCAGCCTCAGTTTTCTCATCTATAAAATGGAGGTAATAATAAATCTTCATGGGCTGTTAGGAGGCTTAAAGGATAATGAACATGGAGCACTTTATATAAATACTCCACAAGTTCTAGTCAGCAGTATTCCTCCACTGAGCTCATCTGCTGTGGTCTAGCCAAGGCTCACTTCACGCCCAGCCCCTTCATCAACCAGCTCCAGGCTCCTCTACTGGGCTTGTGTGTGGAGGTGCACGTGCTGCTGCAGAATTTGGAGGAGGGTGACCCAGTGTTCCCTCTGGGTAGACCTCTCACAAAAGGACCAAAGCCTGGGCTCAGCTAATGTCATCCTTCATCTTGTGGACCAACACGCAACAAGTTCATGACTGGGCAGCTCATTCCACACTTCACAGACAGAACGCATTGGTGTTTGGGACAAGAGTGCTTTTCTAGATCATTCCTTCTTAAGTTCTAGTCCATAATACAAGGGTCCTCAAAATTTTCCAGAAAGGCCCAGCTTTGCAGCTATTTTCAGGCTATTCAGTCTCTTGCAACTGCTCAGCTCTGCATGTTGGCACAATGGCCAGAGATGGTATGTAAATGAATGGCTGCATTGCTTGCTAATAAAAGTTTGTTTAAGAACTTCTCTGGTGCTCCAGTGGTTAAGACTCCATGTTTTCAAAGCAAGGAATATGGGTTTGATCCCTGGTCAGGGAACTAGGGTCCCACATGCTGCAGGGCACTGGCCAAAAAAAATTTTTTTTAAAGGTTTACTGAAACAGATGGAAGGCACAATTTGGACCATGGCCCACAGTTTACTAACTATGGTAGGAGGAGTGCCCTCACCCAGAGGTAACAACTAAAGCATGACCAGAGGCTCCTAGACATACAGGGTTGCACATGCATGCACATGGGTACACACACACACATGCACACACAGACCACATGGAACCAAAGAGCTACACTGGCCCAATGACTGACACGAAGTTCACACTTGATATGACATATATGTTTATTAATGTATTTATTTGATGGATGGCAAATTGAGTGGAGAATGAAATAGGTACCGCTGCAGGCAAGCAGGGACTATGGCCACTATAGATGGAAGATTAGTAAAAAAAAAATTCTTGCCACATGGTTTTGGGACATGGTCCTATACTTTTATTTGAACAGCAGCA